GTATAATTCACAATGTAGGCTAATTCATAGTTATTCAATGCAATTCAGCTATCTGAACAAATGTATAAATATATAATACAACTGTGAAATAACCATAGTACCCCTGAAAATCCCTGTAGCTAATTTTCATGTGCTGAACCTCAGTTAACACAGAAAACAGGCTTAACAAGCTGAATAGCTGCAATGTAATATCTTAAACCATTGTAAAATTATATCACAAGATGAACCTCAGTTAACACAGAAAACAGGCGTAACAAGCTGAATAGCTGTAATGTAATATCTTAAACCATTGTAAAATTGTATCACAAGATGGTAAAAGATCACACTACCCATGAGAGATGATATAAGCCACTGTGCACAACAATAGTGATAATACAAGCCCTTGACAGCTCTAAAACACCAAGTTTTGACATTAAAGAGGCAAATATAAATCGGTACTAAGACCAACAGTGTGCCTTTAAGTGCGTCTCTCAATAATATACAACCCTAGAGTGCTTACTACCGATAAAAATATTATTTATTTATTTATTTATCCATGAATATTCTGTATTAGAGTTTTACTTGTTTGTATCCATAAGAGAATCTATGTGAGAGATTTTTCTTATGTAAGTTGAGGACGTCACACTTGACATACTTTATATCATGTGTTATATTTTGAATCATACACGCATATTATATACTCTGCATTGGATATGGTGATTATGATGTTATACATGTTTTTATATATATTGTGTTATGTGCTATTTATATATATGTTGTGGTATGAGTTGAAAATTCGACGACAATACACGACAACGAAGTGTTACAAACCAAACCAAACCCTGAAATGGTGGACATATTGGTTGTCAAAGCTATTCCAAGGTGAAGAAGTAGTGCATGATGGGATTAATGTGGATCAATGGGATTATATAGCTGTTAGATGAATTGGTTGGAGGATAATTGAATAGATCTTCTAGAGTGCACTAGTGGAGCAATTGGATTGAAACTCACCGTGGAGTAAATCAATTGTACATGAACGAGTATTGGAGATTTATTATCTTGCTAAGTTTGGAGGTAAACTGGTGTTCATCGTGTTGAACTGTATTAGTTATACTCTCTTTCTTCGTAGTGAATTTCTTGGCCAAGCCTGGTCCCGAGGTTTTTTTATCCCGAGTTCAGGAGTTTTTCCTCTTATATTTGGTGTGCAAGTTTCTCTACTCTTTTTATTTATTGCACATATTAATTGTTTATTATTGTTATGTGATAGATGTATGCTTAGTTGAATATCAGGATAAAATCAATTCACATAGGTGCTTAAGTGTTAAAGCAATTAAACCCGATACAACTAATCACTATTAGGTTGGTAAAATAAATTAGGGGTTGGTTGATTATTTGTTTATTTAATCAGATTTCATTTATTTATTTGTTTAAGCAATTTAGTTTGTTTAAATTTTATTTTACTTATTTAGGTCAAGCACATACAATTGACTGTTGAATACAAGGAAAAATAATTTCACCAATCATTATTTAAATTAACATATCATTGATATATTATCTTCCGCATTCAACCCCCACCCCCCGGGCCGCCGTCGGCGGTTCATATCTCAAGATCGTGTTCATTGCATTCTTGATTGTGACTGGCTACAGTCTCAGTTGATATATCTATAGATAAACTCACTCATAAGCTATCTGATAAAACCTGAATCATCATTTGGTATTAAAGTTGATTACTTTAAAATAGAGTGGATCATAACTATTATTAATCCCGATCAACCTTTATTGGTAATCTAATACTCAAATTTATCATTTGGTATCAGAACGGGTTTTAATTATTTTTAGAGCAAGCCTTTATTTATTTATAACTTAGCTTACTTCTTTAAAGTACAATTGTCTGATACACACTTTCTTAAGTGTTGTAAAGAGCGGGTCGCTCATTCTATTTTTTTTTTGACATTTAATTTGATCTATTAATATGAGAGTGGTTATATATATTTTGTTTGACTTAAACACTTACATGTTTGCTCTATTTGTTTATTTGAGAAATTTATGTGTTTATAGCATAGGTTACTTGTTTGTATTAGGGGGAGAGAGTTTAGGACTTTATCTATTAAAGGGAACAAAGATATTTTTGCATGTTTGCTTTGAGGGGGAGTGCACATGATATTTGCATCTGCATTGCATTGACATTTGGAGCATTTTTAACATTGTTGCTTCGTATGCTTATGTTTATCTTTCTTTAGTAAGCTTCACAGGTAGTTTTGTTGGTTGATGTGCAGATTACAAGCTTAAGACTACGAGAGGCGAAGCTTCATGTAGTTGAAGAAAGTTCAGTTGTGTGTTTTCTGACATATGGACAAAATGTAATTTTACTTTTTTTGTTGCGAGTTAGGTTACAAATTGTGTAGAATGTTTTTGTCGTGAAATTGCCAAAGAGGAGATTGAGAGAGATTATTTTGTAATGTTGGCAAATTTCGAAGTCAAAACTTGATGATCGAGTTACATTTTTTTTTATCTGAAGCGCAAGTGTCTCTTACCATTGAATCTATTGAGAACATCATTTAGAATATGTATGTGACTAAGGTACACTTGTGGGTATGTATAATTTTAGACAGAAGTGCACATGTTAGAAATAGCACTCAGCAAAGTCCAAACGGTTGAACTTTATACTTGAACTGGTTGAGCTTTCTACACTATACCTGCAATCTGGTCCAATCGGTTAAACTTTAAAACCCAACCGGTTTCTACATACTGCTCTTAGCCAGAATCCATCCGATTGAGCTTTGAAACTAAACCGGATTGAGTTTTCCATAATGTACGAAAAATTAAATTTTGATAACTTTTTAGTTTCTTGTTTTTTACCCAAAACTTCTAGGTTTGTCCTTGCACAATTTTAAAATCACTTTTTACCTATTCTAAAGAGTCTCTAGTGTGTATATGTATATATCATCTCTCTTTAACCCTAATAGAGAGATTGATTGCTTCAATTGGAAAAAATAAGGTTTTCATCTTTTACATGAATATTAAAGCTTTTTGAGAGATTTTTCAGATAAATCTAATCATTTATTTTTTAGAGTACACATTTAAACACGAGAAAAATTAGGCTAATATTTTTCTACTCATTAACACAGAGTCCTCATGGTCTACATCATATTATAGATTGATCAAAATTGCAGATTTTCTAAAAACCTTCACAAAATTTAGATTTGAAGGGAGAGTTATGAAGGGAGGTGGAGTGCTTGTTGATTTACCAACTATTCTTTATAGAGATGGAAGTAAGCAAGCCTGAAGTAAGTATTGTTGAACGTGGGAGTAAGTTGAGTGAAAGGGTATGAATATGAGTTAGAGTCCATTATACTTTGCTTCGCGATTAATGGATCATTCCACTCGAGCCAGCAGAGTCTCCAAGTTTTTTTCTCAAATAATTGGTTGATTTTCCCCGATCAAAATTTTCTCGCTAAAAACCAAGCATCATATCTCAAACTATGTTTTACTTGCTTTACTTTATTGTTTATATTTTTGTGGCTGTGGAGGCTTAAATGGTAATCATTGTGGATAATCAATCAATCACAAAATTGGACAAGTTGACATATTTATCCCTCTCTAGGTTATTAGAATATTGATTTACAACTTAATCAAGAATACCATAGAGTACCAAATAATCTGCAATCAAATACTCTCTCTGAACATATACAAACTCCTAATCTTTAGATAATCAAGAATCAAAACAATGATTACGAGTAGAATCAGAAATATACCATTCGAGTAATCCAAAACCAAATAACCATAACACAGTCTTCATACAACAAAAACCCTAATCTTCTACAAAACTAGTAGGGTAGAAGATTAGGGTAATCAATCAAACCAGACAAAATAGGTTGCCTTAACAATTGGTTCTCTCTGTGTCAATGAAAAGGTTTTGAAGATGAAATGAAATGAAAAGAAAAGACGTTGCTTATGTCAGTTAGTCTTCCTTCATTTTTATAGGGGGTATAACGGTTATTTCCTACAAGTGTGACAAATAGGGGAAAATATATATATAACAGTAGAGGTTAATTGAATAATTTCACACGAATTTCTAACAAAAGGTAAACAATCAAGGGGAAGGGAGGTATAAATAAACTTATGGGAACTCGGTCTAATTAGGAGAGGTTTGTATAATAATCCCTAATTATCTCTTTCTACTTTTCATATATATTTGTGTAATAATCCCTAATTATCTCTTTCTATATATATATACACACACGATATTGTCCATGCAACAGGAGATCACTTCCTACTCATAAAGAATCTCCTGCATGCACCTATGGTTAACAAATAACAAATAAGGAAGTTAATTTAGCATAGGCTCCTTTATTTCTACATAAAATATCTTGTCTGAAAAAGATTTAGGTCAAGTCAAATTCATCCAATGGGAGTGTAAATAATGTAAAAATTAATGGATAAATTATTTTTGTTAAATTTTAATTTTTTTTTTTCTTAGTAAATATTTTACAACAATCAAATACTAAAAATTAAAAAAAATATTTTACACTGACAAATTTTTTATTTTAAAAACCATATGCTCTTCCTCTCACCAAGCTCAATGGGAGCAAACAAACCAGAAAAGATATATCCTAGTGTTCCTAGACAAAATCCAACACAATTAATAATTTTTACCAAGAAAATAAATATTTTATAAGATTTTGTGAACATATTTTTCCAAGGTATATACACAACTTTTTTTTAGCATGTAGGGGTTGATGGGACTGAGTTTGGATCGTGTAGCTCACAAACCACCCAAAATTTAAAGCATCACCTAAACCCCTTATGTTGGTAGCACAATGCACAAATCCAAAGCACAATCCACAGTCCAAACAAGTCGTCTTCATAATTAAAGGTTGAATTTTTGGCCCCTACCAACTTTCCGGTGCATAGTAAAAGGCTGAAATTAACTAGCAGCAGAAGGTTTCACTTGCAGTGCACCGGAAAGTCGGTGCATTGCAGAGGATCCTCTTCCTTTTTATCAACCCATGTTCAGGAAATCACAGAAGCAACAAATGAAATTGAACAATGGTAAAATGTACATCAACATTCCATAATCCATCTGTCCATCTACTGCCTAAATACTCATATTTTGCAAGGTAATTTGAGGAGGAAGAAGCTGACTTTGTTATTTAACGAGTCGCTGCAGCACGGTTTTTCCTCAATCTGCCACGTGTAACCCTGATGGCTTCCTCCATCACGGTCTCTTGTGGGGGAGGGTTCGCACTGTCATCGGCTGAAGAAGTCGTCGCTTGTTCAATCTGCATTGCTTCTGTTCCATTTGAGTCTGAACGGTTGATGATTTCTGTAGTAGGCTGTGTCACAGCTGTTTTAAGTTCATTCAAGCCAGCTGCAGGGGAAGCTGCTGCAGGTGTTTGTGAATTACCCAACTCCTGTGTTACCTCCTCTTGTTGGTGTTGACTTGAAGATGTACTAGAAGTAGGAGAAGGTGGTTCTTCGCTCTGAGGTTTCGTTGTAGCAGCTGGTTTGCGATTTGGTGCAGGTGCAGGTTGGCGAACTCTAGCACCTGGTTGCTGCGGCTGTAATTTCAAAGTAATAGATGGTTTAAATGCAAAGAGGGCAACCAAATTCATCGCATTGATTATAGAATGGAGACACTTTCAAGATTTTGCAACATAAAAGTTTGTAAATCATTCAATCAATGAATAATCAGCAACCGTTAAAAAAGAAAAAGAAAAAGGTGGTGCAATATCTATACTAATACATTGTTATAAAACATATTCTGATTCCGTTTTCACAAATTTTCCAAAATATGTCCCCTGCCATGTATTAGATCGCATTTCCTTCTAAAGAAAATTTTGTTCAGGTCAAGATCTACAGAAAAAAATTCCAGTGAAGATGGCTCCATTAAAATTCATTGAAATTACTCACATCCTCAAACACATGAAAACAGCCCAGCTATACACAGGATCATTGTGAACCAGTTATAGTCCGTAAGCAAAATTGCAGAAAAGCAAAGAAACAATCATTTCATCAGGGGAACCAATCAATTGAAATTACTTTTTTCAACTTTATCAATAACGCGTCTGGTCTGCATTTTACTTTTTTATTCTTGTTCCAAAAAACACCCCCAACCCCCAATTAAAAAAAAAAAAATCTAAAGGGTGAACAGGAAGGTGCATTTATTTCATATTTTTATTCAAATTAAAAGAATGTTTATCCAACATTATTTTAGTGATAACGTGACCAAACATTGTTTACATTCAAATCAATCGATGAGATTGTCGAGAAATCAAGGGATTTGAAAAACCAACGGAAGATCACAGACCACAGGAACCAAAAGACCATATGATAAGGTCAGCCAATATGACACTAATTTGCTCTAAGTTTCAGGCAAGTTACAAGGACAATAATAATATAAAGAATAGAGGGCACACGATAACATTATAAATATTGTCCAACATCCCTAAGACTTCACATTACATACCTGAGAAGGGCGAGGTCTTGGTGTAGACTGTGAAGCAACATATTGTAGAATCTCAAAAATTCTAGTCTGACCATAGCTCGCGGCCCTTTGCCAATACAAAACTGCAATGTCTCCTGCCCTAGTCCTCAGTTCCAACAAATTCCGATCAATTTCTGTCTCATGCTTTGCAACGTATGGTTTAAAGAATGAATCGTAAACATATGTGGTTCCCTGAAATAATCGAAGTAAAAGGGAAAGGGTATTGTAATAGGATGACGAAAAATAATAGACAACTCTAAACTTGATTCCTAACTCAGAGGAAGATTACGAACCTTTGTTCTAGGATACCAAAGATATATGACGAATGCCAACTTAGCTTCGCTGTACATTGGAAGCCTTCACAATGAAGACAATATAAACAAACACAATGTAAATGCAAAATCAAATATATAAGAACATTAAAATGTCTTCATTTTCAAGTAGTATTCTTTACCATGAAATGAAAGTGTCACCAATCCTCTCACCAACTGTCAACATTGCAACTAAAATCCTGAAAATTCAGACATTAGACAATTTACTCCCGAAATTTGTACATATTAAAGACAAAATTGGTGGCCTAGCGATATCATGCCCTTACTTCCCAAATGGAGGTCAAGGGTTCAAGCCTTAGTGGAGGCATGTGTGTGTGAGTACCAACTAGGAAAAAAAAAAAAAAGACAAAATTGACAGTAGACAATATACCAATACTGGCACCAAAAGCGAAGTTGCTCAATGTCTGGTTTATTCATTTCCACAGTTTTGAAGCACTCATAAGCTGGATAAGCATAACCAAAAACCATTCTGCAGAAGAAAGGATAATTTTTTTAAGTTTTTTAACAACATGTGAATCAATTGAAATTCATGACAAAAGAGAATGGAATTAATGCAATTATGCGACATACACAAGTCCTCTGGTAAGAAACGATCCAATCATTTTGTATGCCTGAAACATACAAAGAAAAACAATTGGTTAATCCAAATACCGCATTTCTTATATATATACACACTTATAGAACTCAAACCCCCAGAAATTTTAAGAGTAATTGATATATTCACTGTCATGTACTCTGGAATCAATCCGAGAATGGAAATTTTGATTTTCAATAAAGCTTCGTTTGGCTGCAAAGAAAATTGAGAAATTTGAGGGAAAGAAAGGAACAGAGGTAATTTATGTTTGTTTGTTTCGTTGGCAGAAAGGGGTAAAAAAAAGTGGGTTCAATATTTAAGCTATTTTCTGGAACCAATGAAAAGGGACGAAATTTTAAGATTTCAATTATCCTGTCCTATTATTTTCTCCCAGTTTCTTCGCAACCAAACAGACTTAGAAATTGTTTTCAGCTTAATCAGCCTAAAATATAGCCATTACCAATAATTAAAAAATAAATCGAAAAAGAAAAAGAAAAAAGTAGACAGTGTGACACAGACTGAAACATTATCCCCGATCCAAAGGCTCCTAAGTACCAAAAACTAGGGCAAAATCATGCGAAAAAAAAGCGCCCAAAATCACCAGATGGTGTCACAAGCAAAGCAATTATAACTCAGAAATTCATACAGAACAAGCCTAAAATAAACAACACATTGTCCATTTCAAAGCACAGTAACAGATAGTAGAGACGAACCAAAGATTACAATTACATAAAAATAAAAATTAGGAAAAAAATAAATAAACTCAATGCTATCTGATGCAAGAGAAGATTTGAAACACTCGAAAACAGTAGAACTGTAGAATCAATTACTGAGAACAAAAAAAAAAAAAAAAAAAGAAATTATAAGAACAGGGAGAAATCGATTAGTACCTTTTAATGCTTATTCTGATATACAAACAAAAAATATATAGGAAACAGCTTAGATGAAAGAAATACAGAGATCGCGGTGGCTGATAAGCTTCGAGAAATCGCCGGCGTAGGCCAAGCGGCGCCGCCGTTGAGCGACGGCGAACCGTTACGATGTCGGCGTTGAGAGAGTGGAAAGAATAGAGAGAGAGAGAGAGAAAAAAAAAAAATTGTAGAGAGAGAAAAAAAAGAGAGAACGTGATAGCAATAGAGTCGTTTTTTCAAATTCTAATGCGTCTCTCTCTCTCTCTCTCTCTCTCACCTGCTTCCGATTTGTTTTGTGGTTTTAAAATGGGTTCTAAACCTGATTTTGAGTTCCGTAACGATGGAGGATCAAGATTGTGTGCACATTCGGGCTAATCACCGTTAAATATTCCACTGATGAATCTGTGGCTCACAGTATCCAAAGTCTAGACGGGTTAAGTATATTTTTCCGTACCTGATCTTTCCTCCGTTTAACGTTTTTCATTCTTTTATTTCGTGTGAAATAATTTTGAGGGAATGCTTGTATCACTTGCTGGGACTTAACTATGTATTACCCACCATGTAAGTTTACGAATTCAACCATGGTTAATGGGCAACGAAAACGCATTTATAGGGCTATTTTGGTCTAATCATGGTATCGGTAACTTTTGCTCGGTCACGGTGTGTGAAACATGAGTCGCCGATTATTCAACAAAAGGTATCTATTCGTTATGGATAACGAGCAAAGTATATTTATTATATGCCCCCCACAAAAAGTATAATTTACAGATATCTCACCTGTGGTTTTCAAAATCACACTGTCACATTTAAAACACACACACTCTCCCCTCTGTGTGTGCGCGCGCGGTGTCCCATTTTCTCTGTAGCCTTTACCATGTATGGCATCTTTCTTCTCTCTTTGCTTTTCGTCACTCTCAAATCTCACTCACTTTAATTGTCACTCCTTTATTTGTTCGGGTAATGGTACCGTCAGATTTATCTCATAACCCCTTTTTTTTTTTTTTTTTTTTTTTTTTTTTTTATGAACTCTATGTCTTTTTGTCTGTAATCATATACAATTATTGAGGCGTGAATCTAACAGGTTGAAAGAAAATTGTAAAGGGATTATATATTTAAAATTTCGTATTAAAAATAACTGATTTTTTTTTTTCACAATAACATTACTTTAATAACATAATGATATAATTTGTGCATTATTTTCTTTATTCAAAGTATGTTAATTCAAAAGAAGTTTATGAGAATGTCATAATTTGTTGTACTTTTGCAAATTTTTTGACCAATCTGATATCACTGAATCAAATTTGAATTTCAAAATAAAGTTTCATAAAAACATATAAATTTAAAGAAAACTATATTTATCGTGTACATATATTGCCTACTAAGTACATAATTATGTAATATGACATATAAAATATTATGTTAAAATGTAGGCCATGTAAAATTATCGTTTTATCCATTTTTTAGCACCTCATCTCTCTCCTTTCTTCTTCATCTCAGTCTTCTCTCTCCTCTCCACCTCATCTTCTTCATCCATCATTGCGACAAACTACGCCACAGAAGCTGTGGCATGCCAGACTAAGATACACTGGACTGAGTCTTGAAGATCACTGTGGAACCAACTTTTGAAACAGAGGGAAGCTCGTCGGAGGTTGAAGCTTCTATTGGGTCATGCTTGTGGCTTGCAGGTTTGAAATAAAGCTCACCAGATAGAACTAAAGTGAAGCACACGTTTTATCCACTGTAGTTCGTGGTCAAAAAAGATGGACGTTTTTGAACTGGAATGTGTTGGTTTAGTCATCGTCACCAGAACTAGTTGTTGTAGTTTTTGGAGCTCGCCGCTGTGTAAGCTTCACCGGACTGGTTTTATAGACTTCACTGAACTGGGTCTATGAGCTTCAGTTTTGGTTGTCGATGGAGTACGTCCAAACTTCTATACCGTTGGTCACCATTGTGGTTCATCACTACTTATAGCATCGCCAGACTGAAATGAAGCTTTGCCGAACTTGGGCTCGCTAAACTGAAGTTCTGACCACTGAGATACGCGGGAATAGCTGGGTTTGGTCGTTTTCAGCTTAAAGCTCCATACCGAAGTTCATGGTGTTGATAGAACGGGTCTTCTCTTTAACTCATCAGAGCTTTTGGTTTGAATGAAATATACCGGAGCTAAAACTAAAGCTCATCTGAAATTGCACTGGAGCCAACCGGAACTGGGTCTGCATTGTAACTCCGGTCAAAATAGTTTTTCAGTGAATCATCAACCCATGGTCTTCAATGGAGCGTCAACTGTGGTCTTCAATGGAGTTTCAGCCATGTGGTTGGACCGATAGAGAAACACAATGTTTGAGCATGAAGATGATGAAGCTCTCACCGGTGTTGTTGCCGCCGTCGGTGACCACGTTATTCTTTTAACTTCAATCGGATTTAAAAATTATTAAATTTAGCATGGCTAAAGGTTTTTGACGAATGGATGAAGAGGAGAGGGAGAGAATAACGTGGAATTGGGACGTATGTAACACCTATGCTTTGTTCAGTAGAAGCGAAGGAAGAAAAAGAAAAAATATAAAGGAATAAATAAATTTTCTTTTATAGAAATTATACAAGTAACGAAAAGAGAGAAAGATCAAGTGGACTATTATAAAAGTTTTAAATTAAATATTATTTAAAATTATATAAGTTTTAAATTACAGACTATCCTCTATAAATTACAATATTATAAATATTATTGGATATAACCGTAAAAATAATTACAACTTTCTCTTTCCTTCTCTCTTAATGAACACTGAAAATTTTAAGTTTATTCTCTTTTCTTCTATTCAACCGAATAAAAAAAATAAATAAAAAATAATAAAAAAAGAAAATACACAATCTCTTCCCTAGGGATGTCTCATCCATCCCTTTTTCTTTCTCTTCCATCCAATTTTTTTTCCTTCCCAACCGAAAAAATCCCAATTGGTGGAATTGGGACAATTTGATAAAGAGGAGAGAGAGAGAGTGAAAGAAGAGAGAAAAGGAGGAAACAAGAAGATGATGGGGGTACTAGCGGCCTGTAATGGTGGTGGGAAGAGGTGGCTCGTTGGTGGAGAGGAAAGAGAAGAAGATGAAATTACTATGAAGGTAGATAGGTAAATTCATCACAAAATCTATTAGGGGAGTGATGAGGGGCAAAATAGGAACAAAAAGGATAAAATCGGATTGTCAGATTTACTTTTTGCTAAAAAGTGATTAGAGTGGCTTATTTGCACATTTTTTAAAATATTATGGACTGAAATACACATTTTTAAAAAGAGTGACTAATTGTGCACGTAACCTATATTACAGGGGGTTTTCTATACTTAACCCTATTTTTTTCTTATGTTAATTGTTCAGCCTTCATTGATAGGTGATGTCACCACTACTTATGTTCTACCCATTTTAAGTAGTACATTTGGCTCTCTCGTGCACTGATTTTAGTAGGGGTTAGCAAATAATCCGTCAATCTGGTTCGAACCAATTCAATCCGTGTAGTTTGATTCGGTTTTCAGATCTCATGGTTCAGTGATGGTTTAGAAAAATAGAGGTTCGTTATTCGCGATTCGGTTAACGGATTAGACCCTGGAAAAACCGATACGATCCTTTGACCGAAACAATCCGATCCGATTCGTTACCTTAATTTTATATATATATATATATATATATATATATATATATATATATATATATATATATATATATACTTACTGTATTTCTATTTTTTTTTATTCATTATTTAAGACTTTAAGTTAACCCTAGGTCACTAAAGTCATTAGTCATTACAGGTTTTTAATTATTAATTTGAGATTTTAATGGATCATAAAGTGTAATCAAGCCCAATTCGTGGAAACCGATCCAATCCGTTATTTCATGGATTGGTTTAGTTCGGATTAAAGGTCCCCACGGACCGATTTGATTTCAAATTTTACCAATCCGTGAAGACCGAATTAGATTGAACTTTACCCCCAAACCGAATCGATCCAATCCGTGATCAACCCTAGATTTTAATCTTTACTTATTTTTGTGAATATTATTTATAAATATGCTAATTTTACAAATGTGGTGTAAAATTCAAAAAAGATTAAATAGAAAATTCATCTGACTTGATTCATTGATATGAGATGAAAGTAAGATGGTCTATGATGAGTTTGTTTAAAATTTAGAAAAATATACACTCAGTTTGGTAACTATTTATATTTACAATTTATTATTTATATAAACAGATTTTGAAAAAAAGAAATGTTTATTAATATTGTTTATGTTTATCGATAAACGTTAAAACGATATCTTGAAATATTACTTAAGTAATGAGTACTTCTAAAATTATTTTTTTATTAGAGTTGCAATTTGTTACCTAAAAGCCATTATAAGTGAAAAAAAATAATTGGACACTTCATAGATGCTTTTATTATTTATTTAAAACTTGTATTGAAATTTTTAAAAATAGTTTAACGACAACAAATATGTTTTTTATTTAATAATTTTACAAATAAAATAAATATTTTTATGTTATCAAACAATATATCTGTTTATTAATAAATAAAAATTATACATAAACACTGAGCATGGTTAAGCTTAAAACACAGTACTATAATAAATTATGACCCTACAAACTAACTAACTTAGCAGGTTGAGCCCAATGAAATAGCAATCTGGAATTAAAGAATGATGAGAGTAGAATGGCGATCTTATGTCGCATCATCAACAAAAGTATAACTTTATGACATGGTGTGACTTGTCAATAGACTCAATACCATCATAAAATAACCATCTACGGATCTACCCACCAATAGTTCGTAAAATATGAAACAGGAAAAAGGGTTTGTGATACCTGTTGGCATAATAGATTTTTGGGGCAAAACGAGAAAAATACTTTTAATATTTAAAATTTGGGGCAAATATTACTCTTAATATATATTATATTTTTTTATATGTAAGCATGTTAAGTTTAAAAAAAATAATCAAAGAAGAGTTTAAAGTCACTATTTCTTTATAAATTTAATCATAAAAAACAAGCTCGAGGCCACTATTTCGTTATAAATTTAATCATGTGCAATAACATTTTTAAGATAAAAAAATTCGAAAATATCTTTTTTCTCTTCTGATAATGCTCTTATATAATATATACACTAGACGACCCGACCCGAACCAAAAGACACTTTAGTCATTTCACATTTAATTATTTTGCTATTCAATTATAGAGAGACATTTTTAGTCTTTTCAGCGTTCAAGTTCTTCTTTGTTTAAAAATTGAATGTTATTAATTTTTCAGAATGTATAGGGAGTTATACACTCTATGCATATCATATAGGTGTTTTTCACTTTTGACCCTAGA